AAAATATTTTATCTGATCAAAACCAAGAAAACATTTTATAAATATTCCATTTCAAACAGCTGAAGAACGTTTTTTTCATTTCTTTATTGCAAACATATATACATTTACAACTGTACAATGACATAAGTAAATAAAGTCATAATATTATGGTAAAGAAGAAAAGAGAACTCTAATAAAGTCCATATCCTCAAGTGAGCAGATAGTAATATCTTTTGCTGAACATTATTCATTCCGTGCATTTGATTCCCGTGATTAATAAAAGGATACCATTGTTGTTCAAACATTTTTTGCGTATAGTTTTTCTTTTCTCTTAAATACCTCACAGAATTATCTTGCTCCTATATATACACAGCAGCTGCATGGAACAGCTTCTACAAGAGAGAGTCCAAATGGGCTCAGAATGGTGCCGTGGGGGGAGGAACAACTCCTGCCTCTGCCCCCAAATGGTGTTTTTGGGTGAAAACTAGTATTCCTGCTCCGTATGCACAGAGACTCATGGCACAGCAAAAATAACTCCTCCCCAGTTTGATTTTTGCGCAAGAAAACAGCTTGTGGGGGGAACCAGAGCCCCGTCTCCCCCTGCAGGGCCACCATTTGGACTCTCCCTTTTTGTGTGTTTGCTTTTAGAAGCCGTTCCCCACAGCTGCTGTGTGGCCGCAGGGAACACGTAAAAACATGCATAAACTCTGTGGGGGGGGGAGTAACATATTGTTTGGTTCTGAATTAAACATTTGTGCCAGTCTGGCGAGGGTGTACTACCTCTGGTATAGCTACTTAATTCAGGGTAGGCCCTGTGTTTCCATCCTTACTGAGAAGCAGTCAGTCTCCCTGGGAATGAGCCAGGAGGGGAACTGGAAATGGTCACAGAATCTCTGGCCCTAAAGGTCGGCCCGGCCCAGCCTGGATGGTTTGCAGGCTTGATCATCCACCCTTCCCATCAGCCAGCGGGTTGACTTGGGTCTTTGCAGCTCCTTTGTCATCTGGCTCTTTTGCTGTTTTTACCTTTTCCCTGGTTTTGGTTACTGGTGAGCCCGACGGGCCAGGAGGGAATCTCCATAGAGTGGCTTTTCATCCAGTTCTTGAGCAGTTTGACAGTTCACCAAGACGGGCAGCCTGCTTCACCACAGCCACAGCAGGCAGGGTGAGGCTCCTTCAAAAATGGCTGAGCGGCTGGAGGGTGGAACACCAAGAGCTACCAAGACTAGCAGAGAGGGCCCCATCTGGGTCTTTGCCTGCAGCATTTGGCAGCCCCTGTGGCTCCTCCCAGCATCACCAGCTGGCAGCAGAAGGAGGA